GAGGAGGGTTTTGGAAGTGTATGGAACGTGTGTTTGTGGGAGAAGAGGGAAAAGTGTATTGAAGAAGAGAGAGAAAAGCTGATGAGAGGAGATATACGCAAATTAGGTGAGAGAAAATAAAAAAAATGAGATTAGAAAAATATTTTGTAGCATATATTAAGCCTTAATTTTAGGATGGAACTAAATTTAGATTTTTTGCTATAAACTAAAAAGGGCATTTATAGAATGTAATATTTTAAAAGGGTATTTATATATTATAAATAGGGTACTAACCTATTCTATAGGTGTTAAAATAATAGCCATATTTACAAGTGGTAATTGAAAAATAGGCACAATTTCAAAAGTAATTAAAATTTAGTCACTTTATATAAAGATAAATCTAAACGAAAACACTGGTCAAAATTCGGAAAATATTCCAGCATAATATACTGGGGTTCAAATTTTTTACATGTGAACTTCCAGCATAATATATTGGATTTCCAGCATAATATGCTGGAAGTTCATACACAGATGCTCCATTCTCAAGTATATTATGTTGGAACTTTTCGTGTGCTGGAGTTCCAGCATAATATGCTGGAAATTCATATACAGGTGCACTAATCTCCAGTATATTATGCTGAAACTTTCCGTATTGCAGCAAAATAATAGCTATTTTTAATGATTTTGCAAGCGCTGACTATTTTTTAATTATAAATCCGAAACTGACTAGCCCGTGCTATTTTCACGATATCTTTTGAATTGTTCCGGGCTTAAATTGCCACGAGCACGACCTTTACCCAAAAAAAATGGGAAAATTTCAAATTAAAACAAGTGGGCTGCATCCTTTTCAACTTTATAGCCCATATTTAACTTTACAATTCAGTAGCCCACAAATTAGGGGCCCAAATCTGAAAAGGGGCGTTATTTCCGGTATTTTGAGACTACCAAGCGCGATTTTATCTCATTCAGCCAGATTTTCTCAGATTCTTTTCAATCTTCTTCCAAAAATACTTCAAAAACGAGATCCTGCGATAAATGCAGGTACGAAAACCCTAGCATTTCTTCTTCATCTAGAATTTATTCAAATTTTTTGCTACGAAGCAGCGCAATTCTCCTTTTTGCTGCAATTTTGATTTCAATTTTTTGTTAGATGGAGATTTTTCCTGATTACCTTCTTCATAGTGGTGAATGGGAAGAAAACAAGTTTGTGAATTTCATCAGTAATTGTGTAATAATTGAGTCCACATTCAACTACAACAATTTAGTTGCAGCTATTTCGGAACAGATTAGGATCGATAGTGATTTAAACACAATAAAGATTAACTTTGTGCCAAATATTGGTTTGCCGCCGATCACGATTTACAACGATACAAGAGTTAAGGTGTATATAGAATTAAAGAAAAAAAACTTGAATTTCATTGAATATCCCCTGTTTGTGACAGTGAAAGAGATTTATGAAAATCATTTGGTTGTTACAAGTTC